CCTTGGTATTTTACATTAGGCTGAATGAGGCAGTATATTAACACTTATCTCATCCTACTTCAGTCCAGATGGTATGTTATATATCTCATTCAACCTAATGTAAAATACCAATGTCAATATATTAACACTTATTTCATCCTGCTACAATCTAGATGATGTGTTATATATACCTTGGTATTTTACATTAGGCTGAATGAGATATATAACATACCATCTGGACTGAAGTAGGATGAAATAAGCATATCCTGCATTTTCTTTGGTAGACTAACAATGTTTATACCAGCTGCATCAGTGAAAGCTCCACCAAATCCTAGTATCTCCTGGAACTTCTGTGATTTGTTTACTGTGACAACAGTCTCATATTGACCTAAATATATAAAACTAATGTAAAGATATATCAAATGACATTGAGAAAATAACTTCTGATGAAGAGAACAACAAGATAATATGTTATATGTGTTCTTGTTTCATAAACATGAGATTAATTAAATAGTAATCAATTTAAATCTATCATTATTCATTAGTTCTCAACTGCAACCTTATGAATTACTGCTTGAGGCCAAACTCTCTTCATATTATAAACAATATCTCTGTTGCTCATGTTGTTCTTCTTTAATAATAAAAAGATGTATCTAAATTTGTTAGCTGACAAATACAAAGTTTATGCACAGTGAACTGTCATATTACAATCAAACTTTTAGTGATAAGATTCGTACAATACTTTGTAAACTTTTATCATCATTTTAAGTAAAACTTAGAACAAGAATTATTTTTTATATCATTAGAAAGCTTCATTTGTAATAGATGACACATATTAAATTATTTTTATATAAAGTTAGGAATATTAACTTTCTAGAAAATACCCACAATTGTTTCTTTCCAGGTGTGAAACTTAATATTACAATACCCCAAAACATTGCTGGTAAGGCCAATGTTGAATACTTACTTAGCACTGGTAACTCCATTATTGAAGCTGTTTTGCTTTAGACAAAAAAACAAAGCATAGGCATAATTATACAGATTTATTTTATTAAATATTTTAGTATTTCTGAATAAATGTAGTAAAACAAATGGTTTTAACCACTAACAGTCATTCTCAACAAGAAAAATAAACCATATACACTACTTCTTTTATATGTCACTATTTTCATCCTTACTAATTTCCTTTTCCTGACGTTGCTAGCTCTGGATCTGTTAGTGTTTCCAACTGAAGTTGCCAGATTTTGTTCTTCATTCTCAATCCATGCTGTTCCCTTTTCTCTGTTGCCAAGTCCAAGACTTCATCTTGAAGGAAGTAGAGATCATGGTGCTATGTATCATATTTAGCTGTTCAGTCTGTTCTGAATAGTTTTGTATAACTGAATGCCTTCTTGGCATACTTGTAAACAGATGCAGTAGGTGGAAAGGTCAATAGTCACATACCAAATTTAGTCAACTTCTGACCCCTACAAGGTTAGTTCTACTGTGGTATCTCAAGGATTTCTGGAAAAGTAGAGCTGGCTGGGTCCACAAATTACAGGAAGTTCACAGATCTCATATGTTACCCAATCGGTGTATTTGTATTACAGAGAATGAGACTGACACAGAGTACAAATATTTACTGCTATTCATAATTTCTGCCGCATTCTGTATTCTACCAAATCATATAAAACAACCACAAGATCCACACTAGGATATGCTCCACTATCTTTGTGTAATGTCCATGGCTTCAATCTTCTAATCTTCCTTCAAGTCTTGACATCTATTACTTTGGGTTTAATACACAAAAGTAAAGAAAAAACTTTAAAAAAGGAAGTAAATGTAGGGATTGCTATTATCAATCCTTCAAAACGAACGCAAACAACATATCAGGGATGGCATTTGGAAATGTGTTTTTAATGCAGTGTTTCAATAGACATAGGAAGGTTGTATTTATAACTTGGTTATAAATACAATGAGGTTCCAACTGTATCTATTATTGGCTGGTAATTCCTGTTTCACCCTGTACTTATGTTTTTTAAAGGAACACCATATTTCTGTAAGAAAGCTAACTTCAAGGGGTAATGATAACATTGTTTGCACTAGAAATATTATTTTGTTTTTAATTACTTCTAGTTGATAATACTTATAAGAGTGGATACTTTGTTTGTAACAATGTCACCTCAGTGAAATTGGTTGACACTATTGTTTTGTGTTTTGAGTTATCATGTAATAAAAAGATACAGCAAAATGAACAA